ATCCCTGGCACAGAAACACCCTATAACATGCATGTCAAACTCAAAGGTTCACACGGGCCAAATGAATGAGGTCTGTGGCCAACAGGCCGAGAGTTTGACATGCTTGCCCAACAACAATCAAAAACAAAAACAAAAACAAAAATCAAATTCTGGGGAAAGAGGTACATCTGATTTCCAGAATTGTCACAGCATGAACAAAAACCACAAGGCATACAAAGAACCAAGAAAGTATGGTCCTACAAAGGAAAAAAATTAATCCACAGAAACTGGCCATGAGAATGACCTCCAGAGGTCCCTCCACGTGGGCCCCAATTGGGGGGACCAGCCGGCCAACCTCCCTCAGTCCCTCCCCCCTGTTGGCTGGCCCCCATTATATGCCCAGATTAGGGCCAGGCCAAAGGTTCCCACCCGTGCACGAATTCATGCACCAGGCCTCCAGTGTTATAATAATACTATCTTTTAGGTTAATAATTGTTTTTAGAAATGTATTAGTCTCTTAAGTTGTGTATAAAACAAAAACTGAAGTTATAAACCAAAGTTACAATAGTACTAGCTTTAATAATTGCCCATGTGTTTACTTTTATTGAGATCTTTATTTCTTCAAATAGTTTAAGTTACTGCCTTGTGTCCTTTCATTTCAACATACAAGTCCTGTAGAATTTCTGGAGGGATGGGTCCAATAATAATGAACAACTTCAGCTTTTGTTTATCTGAGAATGTCTTAGATTCTCCCTATGTCTGAATGACAATTTTGCCAAATATAGGATGATTGGTTGACAGGCTTTTTTTTTTTTTTTTTTCAGTGCTTTAAATATATATTAGCCTGTTGTCTTTGAACTTCTAAAGTTTCTAATGAGAAATCTGCTCATAATCTTATTGTGGATTCTTGCAAGTGATAAGTTGCTTCTCTCTTGGGCTGTCATTAGGTTGCTTATAATGAGTCTTGATGTGGGTCTCCTTGAGTTCATCCTACTTAATCTTCATTGGACTGCTTGGATATTTGTATTCATGTCTTTCATGAAATTTGGAAAGCTTTCAGCCCTTATTTCCTCAAATATTCTCTCTGCCTCTTTCTCTCTCTCTTCTTCTAGGACCCTCACAATGCATATGTTTGTCTATTTGATTGTTTCCCACATTCCCTGTTCACTTTTCTGTTCCTCAGATTTGATAATCTTATTTTCAAGTTCATGAATTCTTTCTCCTACCTGTAGGGGAGGGCAGTTAGGGGTGACCAGGCCAGCAGGGGAGGAAAATTGGGAGGAGAGGGGGGGAACCCAAGCTTGCAGGGGAGGGCAGTTTGGGGTAACCAGGCCAGCAGCAGAGGGGATTAGTGACCAGGCTAGCAGGGGAGGGCAGTTAGAGCAGGGGAGTGGTTAGGGGGTGATCAGGCTAGCAGGCAGAAGTGGCTAGGGGCAATCTGGCAAGCAGGCAGGCAAACATTTGTCAGCCAGCAGTCATGGATTGTGAGAGAATGTCCCAGATTGGAGAGGGTGCAGGCTAAGCTGAGGGACAACCCCCCTCCCCTGGGTGCATGAATTTCGTGCACCAGGCCTCTAGTATATTAATTAAAGGTTCAATACAACAATAAACTATAACAATTATAAACATTTATGCACCCAATAACAAACCCTCAAAATATATGAAGTAAAAATGAACAGAATTGAAGGAAGAAAGTTATACAAAAATAGGTGGAGACTTCAATACTCCATTTTCAGTAATGGGTAGAACAACCAGACAGAAGATAAGTAAGGAAATAAAGTACTGAACAACACAATAAACCAACTAAATCTAACACACATAAGTGGACACTCTACCCAACAATAGAATACATATTTTTTTTAAGTGCACATAGAACCAGGATAGACCCTGTTAGGCCACAAGTCAATTCTCAATAATTTTAAAATAAATGTATCATACAAAGTATCTTCAACTAAATGGGATGAAGTTAGAAATCAACAACAGAAAGAAAGCTGAAAATTCACAAATGGGTGGAAATAATCCCACACCACCAATAGGTCGATGTATTAGTCAGCTTTGACTACCATAACAAAATACCACAGACTGAGTGGTTTAAGCAACAGATATTTATTTCTCTAGTTCTGTCTGGGAAGTCCACAATCCAGAGGCTAGCCAATTTAGTTCCTGGTGAAGATCTACTTCCTGGCTTGCAGGCAACCAACCACCTTCTTTTTTCTTTTTCTTTTTAACATTTTTTTAATGTATTTTATTGATTATTTACAGAGAGGGAGAGAGATAGAGAGTTAGAAACATCGATGAGAAAGAGTCATCGATCAGCTGCCTCTTGCACACCCCCTACTGGGGATATGCCCACAACCAAGGTACATGCCCTTGACCGGAATCGAACCCGGGACCCTTCAGTCCCCAAGCCGACGCTCTATCTATTGAGCCAAACCGGTTTCGGCCAACCACCTTCTTGCTTATTCTTCACATGGCAGAGAGAGTTCAGGTTCCTCTTTATCTTTTTATAGCATTAATCCCATCATGGGGCCCCACCCTCATGACCTCATCTAAACTTAATTGCCTCCCAAAGACCCTGTCTCCATCTATTACCACATTGGGGAGGTATGGCTTCAACATATGAATATTGGGGGGGGGGGGGGGGGGTAGGGGGTGATACATTCAATCCATAACATTCTGCTCCTGGATCCCCTGAAAATCATAAATATATGCAAAATATATCTATTCCATCCCAAAATCTCAACCAATTGCAGCATCAACTCTAAAATCTAGTTTCATCCAAATATCTAAATCACAGGGATAGGGGGTGGTGTTGGGGGAGAGATTAACTGGAGAACTTATATGCATGTATGCATAGCCCATGGACACAGACAATAGTGTGGTGTAGGCTTGGGAGGAGTGGGTGCAGGATGGAGGGGGTCAACAACACACACACACACACACACACACACACAAAAGGGGACATCTGTAATATTTTCAACAATAAAGATAATTTTTAAAAATAAAATAAATATCTAAATCAGGTATGGGCAAGACACAAAGTATGATTTATCCTGAGGCAAAACTCTCCACTGTGAACTTGTGGAACCAGAAAAGTTATACAGTCATGTGACAAGGCATAGGTAAATATTCCTATTCTGAAGGGACAAATTGGAAGAAAAGGGTGATGCTCCCAAAGCAAGTTCAAAACGTAGCAAGACAAATGTCATTAGATCTTAAGGATAGAGAATAATTCTCTTTGGTTTAATGCTCTGCTCTCTGGTCCATTGGGTTGGTGATCCTGCCTTCACAACCCACTGGGGTAAAATTTTACAGTTCATTTTTCTTTTGAAATTTGTTGACAATAATTTAATATACAAATAAAAAAATTATTAATTGGGATGTTTCATTTCTATTCATTAAAAAACTTTAAAATTTGCCTGACTCAATGGTTGAACATCAACCTATGAACCAGGAGGTGATGGTTCAATTTCTGGTCAGAGCATGTGCCTGAGGTGTGGGCTTGATTCCCAGTGGGGGCATGCAGGAGGCAGCTGATCAATGATTCTTGTCATTGATGTTTCTATCTCTATCTCCCTCTCTCTTCCTCTCTGAAAAAAAAAAAAAATTTTAACTTTATCATTTTTAGCTCTAGCTGGTTTGGCTCAGTGGGTGGAGTGTCAACCTACTGATTCAAGGGTTCCAGGTTCGATTCCAGTCAAAGGCATATGCCTGGGTTGCAGGCTCGATCCCCAGTGGAAGTCATACAAGAGGCAGTGACCAATGATTCTCTCTCATCATTGATGTTTCTATCTCTTTCTCTCTCTCCCTTCCTCTCTAAAATCAATAAAAATATATTTTTAAAAAACTTTATCATTTAAAAAATATATATTTTATTGACTTTTTTATAGAGAGAAAGAGAGAGGGATAGAGAGTTAGAAACATTGATGAGAGAGAATCATCAACTAGCTGCCTCTTGCACACCCCCTACTGGGGATGTGCTCGCAACCAAGGTACATCCCCTTGACCGGAATCAAACCCGGGACCTTTCAGTCCGCAGGCTGACGCTCTATCCACTGAGCCAAACTCGTTTTGGCAAAACTTTATTATTTTTAAATATAATTAACTTTTGACTTTTTTCTTTATGAATCCTGCCTCAGTATCATTCATATAAATACTTGCACAACTTCAGCATTATAGGAATGTTAATAATAGCAAAGTTTAATTACTAATAATCACCACCTTTTATTGAGTACTTAATATGTATCTCTGCATACATTATTCTATTTAATCTTCACAACAGATCTTTGAATAATTATTGTTCTCATTCTACAGATCAGGATACTGAGGCTCAAGAAGACAAAATAACTTTCCCATAATCATGAAACTTGCAATGTCGGAGCTGAGATTCAGTCATTTTGCCGTGACAAACTCTGAACTTTGTAAACAGATAAATAGACCTGGGACCTCTTCCTGGCTCTGCTGTGCTAGCTGCTAGGTGTCGTACCCTGTGGTACCCTTCACCCCTCTGAGCCTTGATGTCATCTGTAAATGTTGCTTAACAATAACTCCCTCATTGAGTTGTTGAGGGATTAAAAAAAAAAAAAAAAATCCAACGTGCCTGGCATCTAGAGACAGTCATAGAAGAGAGTAGGTCACCTCTCCTCTTGGCTGGAATAACTTAACCCTTTCCCTCCCGGCTCTCTGTTGATGGGTGAGGTGGAGGGTGGAAGAGAAAGGGTAAGCCAGTGCCTGCAGGGAGGTGCAGAGCTGGCGATGCTAGGCCTTGCCCATCTCCGTGAGGAACAGAGCGAGGTGAAACGTCACGTCTCTTAAAGGAACCCACCCTGGGAGGAACTCAGGTGCTTCCAACACAGGAGGTGAGGCATGCTTTTCCAGGTGTGGGAGGCTGGGGCGGGGCTGATTAGGGAGATCTCTCCACTGCTCAGAAGCAGCCACGCTTGCTTGTGAGGAGAGCCCTGTGAGGTCGCTGCTCATCTGCCAGCTCTCACCCTGTTGGCCCCAACACATACACCGAGACCATGGGCACCCTTGAGGGACACCTGTTGCCAGGGATATGCTTGCTCTTCTTCTCATTCTACTACTCAGTGCTGGTGTCCTTGGCCCTGCTACGGGGACAGAGGTTTTTCAAGCTCCCTCTCCCTCCGAAGGAGAAGCGAGAACACAGCTGGAAGCCGGTCCCTGTGGAAGGAGTGGTGAAGGTCGTCATCAGCCTGACTGGCATTTTGGGCGAGTTCTTCTTCCCTCCAGGAGTCAACCGGATGAAGCTAGTCAATTGGGAGGACCCTCAGCGGCCATTCCTATTCTCGGAAAACTGGTATCATAGCACCATGTACGGGTTCTTCATGCTCAGCGGTGTGGCAGACATTGTGAGTCAGTCGTGCCTGGCACGGCAGAGTATTAAGCTGGAGCGAGCGGCCGAGGCCCTGGCCTTCTGCATCCTGGCGCTGCTGCTGATGGCACACCTTGAGAACAGGAGCGCCCTGGAGATCCGTGTGCACATCCTGTTCATTGTGCCCGCCTTCCTGGTCAGCCTGGTGCTCGCCATCGAGGTCTGGGTCCCGGACCAGCCCCAACTCTGGGTGCTCAAGACCTGGTTGGGACTAGTGTTGAGCACCTGGATGCTGCAGCTCTGCCTGGTGATGTACTCCCCTCCCTCCGGGCAGTCCTGGCGATCAGAAAACCACGAGGACCTCACTTTCCTCGCCATCATCTTCTGCTGGCACCTGGGCTTAGGGGCAGCCATACTGGCCACTGTCTATGGCATCTGCAGCCTCTGGCATCATCACTGCTCCTCCTGGACAGAGACTTCCGGTGCTAAATACCAGCCATGCCCCACAGGCTACAGCAGTGACGAGCTGGAGAAACTCAGGGCAGGGGCCGAGCAGCAAGATGGCGGTGTCTAGGATTAGAACCCGTCTTTGTTTCAGCCTTTTGTCATTATGTGCATAGCATGGGAGATGCCCATTGTGTGCATAGCATGGACATGTCCTGGGGTCTATAATATGGCTTTCCATCACAGGAATCATCGTCCTTGTTCCTCAATAAACCTTCCAGCTCCTAGGAGTGCTTCACTGTCCTCTCCAGGTCTGCCTCTTCCCTGTCTCACTATTCAGGATGGTTCCTGGCCGTGGACTTACATGAAGTGAGAACAAGGAGCAGTGCTTTTCGGTGACAGCTTTGGGGATCCAAGAGGAGAAAATGAAATGAGTAAATATAGGGAAGTGGGGTGTTGCTGAGGGCTCAGAGAGAGTTCTCTCCAGATATCTAAGGCAAGGCTGACTGGCTGTGTGTGTGTGTGTGTGTGTGTGTGTGTGTGTGTGTGTGTGTGTATACAGCTGAAGGGCTGCAATGTGTGAATGAGAGGGTTCCACTTTTGCAGAATAGTGAGGTCTTCTGTTTTCTTCATTTTTCTCTGTTTTTTACCCACACTATGTGTAACAAGATGAAGAACTTGTGCTGTTGTTGTTTTGTTTAATCTCAACTAAATGGGGCTACTTCTACCTTCTAAGGGACTAGGGGGTGAGGGGGAAGGGAGACCAGCCAATTTGGCAGAGGCTCATGTCTGGGGAGAAAGGAGGCAAGAGAGAAATTCCCAAAAGTGGTTGTGAGAAATGAGAATGATAGTTACATAATTTAACTTGTTTGGTTTTTGCTCTAATGTCAAAAACTCCATTGTTCCAACTTGTTCAGTAAAGTCTATGATACATATGTGTCTTGTGTGAGTGATTCCAGGGTAAGATCAAAGAAAACGCCCAGATTTCAGTTGGTGGGAGCAGAAGGGAAGGAACTCTGAGCTGAGAGAAACCCTGGAATTTGCATACATTTTCATTTAGTGGAGCTTCTCCCAGAATGAGGACGGGGGGTGCCAGTAAATCAGTGAAACACAGAAAAGCAAACTAGATAAAAACACTTGTCTCTGGCTACAATTAGAAAGCCAGTGCTTCAAATAGCACGCGCGTGCTTCTGTCAGATGGATAAACCAGCATGTGGAAGTCTGAAGAGGCAGGAGGAAGGGAGGAGATGCTGCCCATAGCTTCAGAGAAAAGACCCAGAGAAAAGTGCCCACTCAGGAAGCAGCTGCATCCACCAGTCCCAAACGCTGTCCTCAGAGACTGGGCAGCTTCAGGACAGAGAGAGGTGTTTGCATTTGCAGGGCTGCGTGCTATCACCTACAATATCACTGGATACTCCCTAAGGAAACAGTGTGCAAAAGCCTGGAAGCTCTGGGACAACGGGTTGGGGCAGAGAAAAAGAAGGGATGGGAATGGGGCAAGGATCTGGCAACTCTCCCGGTGGGAGGGCTTAGAGGAGAGGGACACGCTGGATCTAGAGGAAGATGAGCGTATCTTCCTCCAGCAGTTGGAACCCAGCCAGCCTCAGCTTCCCGCCCCAGCAAAGCAGAAACCACGCCAAGGAGAGGCCAGCACCCTCCTTTGGGTCCCTGCCCTGAAAACCCCAGAAGCAAAGCCAGAGACCCTGAAGCTAATAAAACTTGAGCTTCAGAGCCCCTCACTTTACATCTTCTGTCCAAAGGCCTGGGAGGAGCCATCACAAGGCGTTCGTATGATCACGTGTTACTGAAAATTGCAAACGTGAGATATCTCTGTATTCCTTTTTCTAATTAGGGACCTCAAATTGTATAAATTTAAGATTTCATAAAGCCTGCCATGCCCCACCCTGAAGGATTAAGACAGATTTACTTTCAGGATGCCTGGCTAGTGTGGCTCAATCGTTGAGCATCGGTCTATGAACCAGGAAGTCACAGTTGGATGCCGGGATTGTAGGCTGAATCCCCAGTTGGGAACGTGCAGGAGGCAGCCAATCAATGATTCTCTCTCATCATTTTGATATTTCTATTTCTGTCTCTGTCTCCCCTCCTCTTTGATACCAATAAAATTATATTACAAAAAAAAGATGCCTTATGATAAATAAATCTCTTAGCTTATTAGTGGAACATTCTTTATTCAAGGATAATGTTAAGACTCTTCTTCAACTTGGAAACAAGAAACTTAAAATGCTAATAATGACACCATGCACTGACTAAAACCACCTACTAAACTAAGTATAATCTCTTAGTCAACAACCGTAAATACATGTTATCAGATGTTAGGACAGATTTAATGAGAAGGAGTTAGACGTGTAGAAGACTAATAGCTAGAGGCAAAAGGAAATAATTTACAGAGATGGATCCTATTGATTGTTTGGGCTGTGTGTGGGAATTTTGTCCTATACATATGGTGTTTGCCCAGTGTATTAGTCAAGGTTCTCCAGAGAAACAGAACAAATAGGATGTGAATAGGTAGAAATTTTAAGGAATTGGTTCATGAGATTGTGAGAGCTAACAAATCCAAAATCTGTAGGGCAGGCCAATAGGCCGGAGACCCAGGGAAGAGTTGAGGCTGCCACCTTGAGTCTAAAGGCAGTCTAGAAGCAGAATTCCTTCTTCTTCCTCAAGGCACCTCAGTCTTTTCTTTTAAGGTCTTCCACTGACTGAATGAGGCCTACGTCCATTATGAAGGGTAATCTACTTAATCAACATCTACTGATTTAAATGTTAATCACATCTTTAAAAATACCTTCATGGCAACATCCAACCGGATGTTTGACCAAGCAACTGGGCACCATGGCCTAGCCAAATTAAGACATAAAATCATCATCCCCAGCATATTGAAACATAGCCACTCAAACATGATTTATGTCAATTATGTTTGTCATGACTTTTGGAGATCTTTCAAAATAATTTTAGTAACTTCATTTTAAAGAAGCTGCATCATTATAGATTCTGATTGCATTATAACAGAGACTGTATAATGTTACATGGACTTCTTTCCTTTCCTGTTTCTTCTAGGAGAGAGATAGAGTGATGGGTAGGCAGGTAGATGACACTAATTTTTAAAGATTAAAAAATAATATTTAGAAGATTTGGGGGTATTATTCATGTAGTACATTTTAGATACCTTAGAAAATACTAAAAAGTATTTTGAAATCTTACCATAATGCCCTTACCCAAAATTAATTGCTTCCCAGAACTAAAAGGGTAGGATATTATTTTAATCACAGAATAGATGATAGTATTTATCTATCAGAGATGAGACTTTTCCTGGTAATGATGACTGATATGCTTGATGGTTAAGGTATGGGTGACTGAAGAGGTTTGAATTGAAGGTCACTGAAGATGAAGAAGTCAAGAACTAGGAATCTAGCTTGTGGGAAGGAACTGAGTAAGGATAATGGCATATCTGAGAAGATGGCAACCTTGGGCTGGAAGAGAACTTCAGAAACTCTAACCTTAGTGAATTTGGGTGAGGAGTGAGGTCAGGAGACAACCTAAGGCATCAAAGAGGGCTAGAAGACAGAAAATGTAAATAGCATGAGTTTTTAAGGAGGAAGTGGTCAAGGTTAAGTAGAAATGGTAATACCTACCCTACAGAGGTATGGTTAAAAGTAAATGAGGCATTACATATACAACATAATACAAAGTATGGTGAACAGTAGATGTTAATAAATATTAGTTTAAGAGACTGAATATACAAATGGGAAATGTCCAAACCATGTATAAAAATAAAACTCTGACCCAAAATCTGTAGCAACCAGCCCAGGAAGCCAACCTACTATCTACAAGTCAGACTCATAGAAAGTTAGATAGCTATCTCAGGCAACCAATCCAGGAAGCCAAACAATAGCCCCTGTAACAGTTGCCTCCAAATAGGCAGGACTCAGTTAATAACTAACAGCTTCCCTAAATTTTGTCCTTCCAACTTAGGACCAACCAAAGAAAGCTAATTATGCACCCCTAACCAATCCTGTGGCTACTCCACTTCTAATTAGCCAGCTACAGCTTTCTTATGTCAATGGCTGCAATCAGGGCGTACTTGATTCCTTCTCTTCTTTCCACTATGCAGCTTTTTCATCCCACTGCCTGCCTTGAATCTTTGTCAAAAAGCAAATAATGGTGGTTGACTTCCTTGTTCTACTCTGAATAGATAGATAGCCCTTGCTTGTGTCCTTTGGTTGGTTTTTATTTATTTGCACATATTCAATTTTTTAAAAATATATTTTATTATTTTTTTCACAGAGAGGAAGAGAGAGGGATAGAGAGCTAGAAACATTGATGAGAGAGAAACATGAGAGAGTACTGGGGACGTGCCCGCAACCAAGGTACATGCCCTTGACCGGAATCGAACCTGGGACCTTCCAGTCCGCAGGCCGACACTCTATCCACTGAGCCAAACCGGTTTTGGCGCATATTCAATTTTTTTAAGCAGGCTGTTACTCAATATTTAGTATCTACTATGTGCCAGACTCCATGCCAGTCCCTGAGTCCCCAGATGCCAGGATCCCTGTCTTCAAGCTGATTATGGTTCAAGAGGAGAAGAAAGATAAACAGCAAGCTAAATACAGTCTGAAAAGAGCTGTAGGAAGGGGCAGCTAAGCTGGACTTGGAATCCGGAAACACTTCCTAGAATAAAGATGTGTCTGTTACAAAATTCAAGGAGTTCCCTGCTTAGGGTGTTCTATTCAAGGACCAGACATGGTTGTCATTAGGTAGTTTTATTTACATCCAAAAACTCTGTCTCTCCAAGGGAGGCTTAAACATTACAAATATACACTATTTGGTTAATTACATGTTGAGCCGAAACCGGTTTGGCTCAGTGGATAGAGCATTGGTCTGTGGACTGAAAGGTCCCAGGTTTGATTCCGGTCAAGGGCATGTAAATTGGTTGCGGGCACATCCCCCATGGGGGGTGTGCAGGAGACAGCTGGTCAATGATTCTCTCTTCGACGTTTCTAACTCTCTATCCCTCTTGCTTCTTCTCTGTAAAAAAATCAATAAAATATATTTTTTTTAAAATTACATGTTGATTTCTTCTTTGCAGTTGGCTAATCTTATTCTGTTGGATTT